ATAAAAGCAGTATTTAGGCAGAATCAAGTTAGTTGAAATATGACAAGCGCACAATAGATATGAAAACAAAGCTAAGGCTTTTATTAAAGGCGATTCATACAAGACAAGGGTCAAGTCAATAAACAATGATGTAAGCACCTGATAAAATTTGTTTTATTTTTTGGAAAGGTGAGGCCCACGTCAAGTCAATAAACAATGATGTAAGCACCTGATAAAATTTGTTTTATTTTTTGGAAAGGTGAGGCCCACGTCCAAACACATTATATGTATGTATGTATGTATGTATGTAATTAAAAAAATAACAACGACATTGAAAGGAAAAATATAGTAAATAATAATGATTCCCGTTCAAGAGGAGTTAAAAAAAAACCTTGGATGATGAGTGGCTAATATATGATTAGGAGTGTTTGGGAATAGTTGTTTGAAGAAGCAGCTTTGAAGTTGTTGCAGAAGTAATTGTTGTTCAAAAGATTATGATGACCGTTATAAATTTATTTTAATTTTAAAAAAATCAGACATTAGTATTATGACAGTCATCACACTTTAACAGGTCAGGTTGACAGAACAGACTTCAATCACAAAAACTCCTAAAAAGTAGCAAAAAAGTAGTTCCCAAACAGAAGATTGGAAAACAGAAACGTCACAAAAATACCCTTAGGCTCCATATGCCGCAGATCCACGCAACATATTTAATACAGAAAGATTTACATACACTCAATTCTTATCTATTTATATATCTAACATCTAACTTTTAAGTTTTACACATATACTACCTTACCTATGCTTAAAAAAGTTGTATTTCACTTTTAAAAGTTAAAATTGCTGTACTTTGATATGATATGAAATATTCGGTGAAATAAATATAAAAAGCATATAATATATTGCTTAGCAATTCTTGAAAGGCATAGGGAAGGCTGAACATAAAAAAATAGAATAATAATAATTAAAAAAAAAACTAAAAAATTGTATTGCGCTCATCGGCCACAGAAAAATAATACTAAGAAACGCAATGCAATCAGATCGAGTATACATACAGTCAAGACAGACCAAGAAAGTAAAAGAGAGAGTGACCAAAAGAGTGGCCGTATTAGTGACATGATAATAAATAGCAGAGAACTTTAATTATTCGAAATATTAAAATTTTATATTCTTAGGAAGATTAAATTAAAAAATTTATTTTCTACTCTACTAGCAAATATCAAAATTGATTCAAAGTTTAGCTCTGATCGAGATTGAAATAAACTAACAGAGATATGAGCTGAAACTTTGGATCGATTTTTTTTAGCCTATTTCGAGCCAATACATGGATCAACTTGAGCTGACTCGAGATCGGCTCGTAGTATATATATATATATATATATACACACATTTGTGTGTGTGCGCACACGCGCAAAGAAAAATTGAATATAATCATTCACTAGCCAATTTCAAGCTAGAACGGATCCAAATAACTCAATTTGACCCAATTTGTTTCAATTTTGAGTCAAATAGAGTCAATTCCGAGCTTAAACAGATTCAAATAACACAATTTGCGCCAACACTTTTTGATCTTGGGCTAGATTGAGCTTGATTCAACTTCGAGCCGACTCGGCTCAAAATCAAATCGTTAATAGCCCCAATTAATTACGAGAAAAAAGAGCAAAAAGTGAGACTTTCGAGGTATGCATTCAAATACAATCATTAGAAGACAAGTGAAAATTGCTACAATTGTCCGCTAGTCGAAAAAATATTGAATTCCTTAGCTAAGAAGTAGTGATCATAAAGAGAGAAAGCAGAGAGTTCGGTGGTCTCAAGAAAAAATAAATGATCAACTTTATGGTCTTTAACTAAATCTCTGCAGTTACTGACTCCCAAATCACCGTTCAAACTCCTAAAATTCCATGAAATAAGTCTGGGAAAGATAAAGATTATAGATTAGAAAGGGCAATCCCATTTTGTCTAGCCTTTCTGTTTTTGAAATAAAATATAATAACATTATGAATTAATTGAGCATCGTGTTAATATTACATAAGAAAGTTTTTCTACATCTAGCAAGTTGGCATCAACCAAACTAAAATATATTTGAGATAAAGATGAACGTACCATCAACGATGTGGAAGAGGAATGGAGAGATCCATTGGGACCGCAAGTAACTTGGTTGTCGGGGAAGAAACGAGAAAACTTTAGAGCCAACATTTCCTCTTGAAAGGTTTTCCCTACTTTTGCTTCTACTTCTTCCACAACAAAAATTGCACTTTAGTTTAGTAAAAGGTTGAAATTTTGGAGACCTTATAGAGTTAAAAGCATCATGAGCAAAAGCTTTTAGGGAGCACAAGAGATTGGTCTTCATTCATAAATCATAGGTTGCAAAATGTCATTTTCTTCGATTGTAAATGTGTTATGATTCGAGCGAACAAAAGGAAAGGAAAATATTCACATTAACCTTAGCAAATGTCAAACGAATTTTGGCAATAAGATGATCAACAATCAAAATAATGTCAGTCCTGATAACGATTTTTTGATATTTCACTTTTTGACCAATAGTCTAAGAAGCATGTTAGCAAATTAACATAGATTATAATTCTTCTAGAATCCTCAATTATAGAAATGAAGTCAGGAGTCTATTTTTTAAAGAAAAAGTTAAAACTTTTGAACCATGAGCTGCCATGATTACCCATTTCTAAATCTCACATCAAGTATACTTAAACATAAAAAATCAATCAGCAAAAGGAAGGAGATCGAACGAATTTTTAACTTCCATAATTTGCTAATCACGGAGAATAGATTTCTATAAAAAAGCCGCTTGCCAATAGCATAACCCACCAAAGCCAAACCCCATGATTTCACAACTTAATCCAGTTCATCTAAGAAAAAAATCATCACATCCTGACATGGAATATAGTTAAGGATAAGTAGGAGTTGAAAACATAAACTGCTACTACCTTTCAAATATCTAAGAAAAAAATCATCACATCCTGGCATGGAATTTAGTTAAGGATAAGTAGGAGGAGTTGAAAACATAAACTGCTACTACCTTTCAAATTCATTGTTGAAGAAGAGTGACTAATAATTGGTCTAGAGCCTGGGATCAACCTAGGAACAAGAAGAAGAGGGGAAGGAAGGGAACCCTAAAGCATCCATGGTTACAAAGCCTTAGAAAAGGCATCCAAGGGCACTCTGACCTAGCAAAAAAAAAAAAAAAAGAATCTACACTGTTTATGGGAGAAGATTGAGGCTAAGGCTGCATTGATCTTCGGAGAGTTTCTATGAGCGTGCATCGCTACCACCTTGAGGAGTACTAACCATCCTTCCACATCACAACTATCAACAATATCCTGTTCTTTTTATGTTGTAACGATTCCTTTTCTTTAATTACGAGGGAGGGATGCCCATTGGGATTCTCATTTTTTGTTAAAAGATGTTGTTTGAATTAGAGAAGGCCAACTAACTTTTAGTCTGCAAGTTTTTCACATAAAATTATGCATCCTTAAGATAAGTACGATTAATCCTCCATCAACTGGTTAGGAAGAAACATGAAATGGAAGAATTGAAAATGTAAAAATTTTATCTGAATAAAAAAATATGTATATTACTTGACTAGAATGAATCAATGGGGAAAAAAATAAAAGTTAACTTAAAGAGTTTACGTAAAATGCTATTTATAACTTACTAGTGTGTATTTAAACCAATAGCTCCTAAACTCCTTGGAAACATTGAAGACAAGAATCATTTTCCACTCCTGCACCAAATTCTTCAAACTGCACACTCCAACCATGGAGAATATTACCAGAAATCTGGTTCTCTAGCTTACTATTCTGAGCCCCAATCCAACTCCTCCCAGCCTCCTTCCTCACTCCCCTCTTTCTCATCAACTTTCTAATCTCCAAAGCATCATTCCATCGTCCAACAGTCTTATAAACATTCGTGAGAAGAACATAGCTCAGGTGATATCCTGGTTCCAGCTCAATCATCTTCTTCGCTACTCTTTCTGCCACTGCCGGGCTCCGATGGGTGGCGCAGGCACCGAGAAGAGAGGCCCAGAGTGAAGAGTCATCTCTATAAGCTGAATCCAATACCAATGTTTCAGCTTCTTCAAGCATTCCAGCTCTACTAAGGAGATCAACCATACAATTATAGTGCTCAATTCCAGCTCTAATTCCATATTCCTCGTTCATTGATTTAAAATGCTTCTTCCCTTCTTCAACCATTCCTGTGTGGCTGCAAGCAAAGAGCACCGCTACAAATGTCACATAATCTGGCCTCGTTCCCCCCTCAATCATATCACCGAACAACTCAATAGCTTTCTCAGCTTGACCATTTTGGGCGAAACCACAGATCATTGCGTTCCACGTGATCAAGTTCTTTACTGTAGCATTCGAGAATACTCGATGCGCGTAGCCTACAAGACCGCATTTTGCGTAAAGATCAACGAGCGCCGACTCGATGACCACATTTCGCCCACCTCTGATACGGATAAAGCGACAGTGGAGTTCCTTTCCTTGCATCACTGCTGCTAAACCGGCACAAGCCCTGAGAACAGTACTGAAGCTATATTGATTGTCGTCTTCATCCATCTCCTGGAAAAGAACGAGCACAGTCTGAAATTCGCCATTTTGACAGTAACCTCCGAGCAAGGCACACCAAGATACAGCATTCTTGTTTTCCAACCGATCAAAAACCTGACGAGAATCATCCAAAAGGCCGCATTTTGCATACATGTCGACGATGCTGCTCTCAACGACAACTCTTCCGCTTAGCCCGCTGGTTATCACCTTCGCATGAGCTTCCTTTCCTAGCCTTGATCGAGCCAAATTACCCAAAGCACACAAAATAGTCCCAAGCAAGAACTCATCTGGAACTAACCCAATAATTCGCTGCAACATGCAGCGGAAGAAAACGAGAGCTTCCTCAAATATATCATTTTGGGTGAATGCTGAAATCATCGAGGTCCAGCAGATGGCATCCGGCGCATGCATTTCAGCGAACAGTTGACGCGCGTCTTCGATTCTAGAATTTCTTCCATACAGATCTACCAGAGCACTCGAGATAACTCCGTTTGAACTAAATCCACGAACCGTTACCAACCCGTGGAAGCATTGTCCTAACCCTAGGTTCTCCATTTCGGTGCTCGCCTTCACCACCGAAGACAGGGTGAATGCATTCGGCTCCACCCCGAAATCTGACATGGAGATAAAGAGCTTAAGAGACTCAACGGGCAGCCCGGCGCGAACATAACCGGAGACCATGGAGGTCCAAGAGATGACATCTTTAACAGGCAGAAGATCGAACACCTTGCGGGTGTCGGAGATGTTGGGGCAAAGCTTGAAATAGAAGGAGAGGAGGGAGTTTCCTACGAAGCGGTCGGCGTCTAGGCCGGATTTGAGGATGTGTGAATGGATTTGAAGGCCGAAGGGGAAGGAGAAGGAGCGAGTGGAAGCTTGGAGGAGCGATGCGAAGATGATGGGCTTAGAAGGGAGAAGCCATAGATCTACGGAGTTGAGGAAGCGGATGGCTGTGAAGAGATCGCCGGATTCGCAGAGGGAAAGAAGCTTGGATCGAAGAGGAGGAGATGGAATCGAGTTGGTTTGGGGAGAGGAGTGGTAAAGGTGTAGTATGAGCCGATTCATTTACATTTGTGAAGGCGGGAGAGGTGAAAAATAGAAAGCTACTGAAGTCTGTTGGATGCAAATCCTCATTTAGCCGTTAGATTTACATAACTAACAATTAGATTTTAATTTTTATATTTATAACATTCAAATTGTTCATGTCATATTAGAAATATCTCAATTTACTCTTAAAAAGTGACATATTTCCTCTAATACAGATAAAGTGGTATAAATATAAAAATTTAAATTTAAATGTTAAATATGTTGCCTAAGCTTCATGTAATATATATGTAAATATTTCAATCAAGAAAATAATCATAATAATACTTTCTTTTAGCCTTTCTTAGAAGTTTATGGCACAAACTGAGGTGCAAGTGAGAAGAGCTAACTCAAACTGAGCCTGATAAATGGCACTTAAATTGAGCTACATAAGCTAACAAGCCGAGCTCATGCCAACACTGAGTCAACTTATTAGCTCATAAGCCCACTAGTTTAAAAAATAATTAATATAATATACTAAGAAAATAAAAGAAATTCAAAATTTTATCTTTCAATTATTAAAAAATTAAAACATCAATATTTAATGTTTAACATTAAATAATTTTTTATTATTTATCTCCGAATTATTTATTCTATTTATCATTTTATTATAACACTAATTTGAATTAATATCATTATTTTATATTAATGAAATAGGCTCGAACTCATAGAATAAAACTTAAGCTCAAACACAACCCTAGAAAAACTAAAACCCGAGCCGACTTGTTTACACCCTTCACAATAAAACTTTTAAATATGGACTAATGGAGATAATTTCTGCATGAAAAAAATTAAAATTTATTAGTATTTATTGCATGTCAGAAATTTTCTGACAGATTAGAATATGGACCAATAAATAAATACCAATAAATATTTATTAGAAATAAATACCAATAAATATTTATTGGTATTTATTGCATGTCAGAAATTTTCTGACAGATTATGCAGGTAAAGTGAAAACATAATAAATATTTCATGCACAAACAATTTGTTACTCAACAGAAAAAAAAATAAAAAAAATCAAACAGCTACCACATAAATAAGATACAATAAGAACAGCAGCTCATCGAAAGGAGACAAATTTGTGTACCTAAGACGTACGCAACGCTGCATAGGACAAATGTATTGCAGAGAGAGCATTGGGGGTTATATATACGTTATACCCCATGTAACCTCCCTGTAACTTACAAATATAAGAAAACAGTAACGCGGAACTTACTAGTTACATGTAGGTTACAAAGAGTTTATAAGGGGTATAACGTGGATAATACCCTCCTTGTAACTTGTCTGATGCACGCAGCGCTGCGTACGTCCTACGTACGCAAATATTTTTCTTCCAAAATAATTGTGATAAATGTATATGTTCTTTAAAATGAAAACAAGAGATTGCAATAGAACAAGTAAATCAAAAGATAATGTGCTCAGGAGGAGTACGAAATGAATATAATTCAATTAGAAAATTTTCAAAAGTCTAGAAACAATGAAAAAAAAATCACCACTCATGTTCAGGAAAAATAACTGTCTTAAAAAATACATCAGTGAAACTCCTTAAATGAAACAAAAAAGACTTTTTCATGTTAATCTATTTTACAGGCTCTTTAAAACTAAAAAAACACGCATCATCACAAATATCTCTATATTATTTTAACAAGAAAAAAGCAAATAAACGGCAATAAAAAAAATTACAAGCATTAGCTATGTTGATAATAATGTTTGCTCAAACAGCAGCCCTCATTGCCCCACGCGCTGCCTCTCGCTTCATCTGTGCTGCCTTTCCGGCTCCTCTGAAGTACATATATACTTGCTGCAGTAACAGTTTGGGCATAGCATTTAGTGGAGATTTCAATTGTAAAGCCATCAAAACTGACTTTTACAGGTTTGTTTTTTGAGATTAGAGATATTCCGCAATAGAATGGTATTACGGCTGACAGAAATTAATGATTAGAACATTACAACAATAAAAATTAAGATTTACATGCATATCATCCATATCTAACATATACATTTAGTTATTCATGCAAAGGTGTATTTCACTTTTTATAAGCTAAAATGATGGTATTTTTGACAAGATGTGAAAGATTTGGGTAGTATAAATATAAAAAAGCAAAGTTTAAGTTTAGGCGTTAGATGTATAAAAACACAAGAATTGAGTGATATGTATGTTAACGCCTCAATTTTTTTTTTTTTTTTTTTTTTTTTTTTTTTTTTTTTTTTTTTTTTTGTCATATATGTCGAATTTTCTTTAGCGGGAGATTGAGCTGGGACACATCAATCAAATTGTAGTACATTGGATTTGCTTCAAGATGAATTTAATATATGACTAATCAATCAAAATGTATATTGCAGGCATCTGAAAATAAATATAAAGATATACAATTCATCATTAGTAAAGTTAGACCAAATATCCTCAACAAATTTTTTTTTTTAAATATAATCAATATCCCTACATTTTTTTTAACATACATGTAAACAATCATTTAACAGGCCAAAAAAGTGGCAAGGTGCAGAATTGCAACATCTATCTAAACTGAGGGGCAGTTTGCGATTATTTTTTATTTTGATTTTGATTTTCTTATTTATGGCTTTACTTGAAATGACAATTTTTTGATAAGTCATAACTTATAACATGTTTAGTTATTTTTATAGATAACCAAAACAATTTTTAAATATTTTGAGTATTTTTTTAAAAACAAACTAATTTTGCATTGAAAATAAAAAATATAAACGCGAAACAATGCAATAATAAATATGTTTTTAAAATAAAAGTAAGAACAAAAACAAAGTAAAAAAAAAAGTGAGCCCGAAAAAATAATAAAATTTTCAAAATTTTTTCCTTCATCGATATAAGCATGCAGACTTCACTAAAATGACCAAGAATTTGAAGCTCAACACTTTCATAATACTTCTTAAGCGTTGCTCAATAAAAGGCATATTGAAAGAACATACTTGAATAACCCAAATGCTTAGCAACGATTCGATGCAGAAGAACCCAAATCCGATGAAGTAGAATATCTGCAACCAATAGTTATTCCAGATTTATTAACAGCAGGGAGATGGTTTTTGGCAAGATCAAGCATTTCTAGCAGTGCAGTAAAAATACTAATCTCAATTCCACAATAGCCGCAAAAAACTTAAAATCTGCTTTAGTTAAACATCAACTTTTCATAAATAAATGTTAATGCAACTTTACTAGAACTGAAAGTGGTGTCAGCCTGGGGCATCAAAGCTAAATTAACACACAGATAAGAGACATTCTGACTATAGCTATGGAACAGCTTTAAAAAATAGTGTCCCTAGAAATGCCAGCTTTTGTACAGTTTTTTCATAATGTTTACTAAAAAAATATTTTGGGGAAGCATAACATATACAAAGAGCGAAAAAATAGCATTTTATCATTGAAACCAAAATGTAAGCCACCCAAAACCAAGTATTAGGATCCCCTTGAACATCTCTACATGCATCACTAAAATTTACTGTATACATATTACACAAAATTTATGCAATCAAACTATAGAACTAAAATTTGTAATACTTTATGTATAAACTCTTAACATAAAAATGAGAACTGTAGTTTTATTCATATAATTTGTCATTTAGATTTAGAAGTCTATCATAATTCTGATAAACTTTTATTTCAAAACAAGTAATTTACGATGAGTTTAAAAGCCATATCCAACTTTGTCCGTCTTATAAAGATTATTGATGCATCATGTGATACTTGTGTCCCCCTGAAGTTTTGTTCATATAAATTGTCATTTAGATTTAGAAGTCTATCATAATTGTGATAAACTTTTTTTTCAATAACAAGTAAATTACAATGAGTATAAAAGCCATATCCAACTTTGTCAGTCTTATAAAGATTATTGATGTGTCATGTGATACTTGTGTCCCATTTCTGTGCATCATGGTTAACTACTGGGATATCTATTAAACTTACTTTCTAAGAATGCATAAATAATCGCTTTGACTTACCCCAACTATAGTGGAATCTCCAATAACATCAACAGCTGCCAAGATACCACTGTTTCACATAAACACGGGAAATTAAAAAAAATATAAAAATTCTAATATTAAGTGATAAATTCTAACCAAAATCTTCAGAACTCAAATATAAGAGCCATATAGAATTAAATACCTATAGAGCACATGTTAGCAGGAAATTCAGATGTTCGTTGCATGCTATTTTTTATTTGTATATACTTACAGAGATGGTCAGATAATTCTCAAGAAAAAATGCACTTGGTTTCCCATAAAATCCTTTACAGCTCATAAATAATAGTTCCACTATTTCACTGTAAAGAGCCTAATGATAGCATGTACAATTTCATCGTATCTTTGCATGAGCTTGTTATAGGATTTCACCATAGTTGAAGTTGTTATTGGGGTAGGGGTGGGGTGGACTAGGGCATAGTGATGTTCATAGCTATAACAAAAATGTACCAGATGAGCTGCAACATAAATTTTTAAGTAAAGTGGAAAAATTGTCCCCCAACCATTACATGAAACCATTTTAGTCTTAGAATTTACAAAAATGTCATATTAGTCGACAAAATGTTTAAAGAGTCTTGGGACTAATTTAGCCCATGTGAAGAAAATTTGGAGACTAAACTGACACTTTTATAGACTCCGTGACTAAAATATACTAATGAAATAGTCAGGGCCATTTTGGCACTTTTAAACAAGAAGCTGGTGGCAAGGCTAGGGCTGTAAACGAGCCGAGCTTGAGCGAGCTCAGGCTTGGCTCGTGTTCGGCTCGTTCGAAATAGATAACACGAGCTGTTCGCGAACAACGAGCTTTTTTGACAGCCCTAGGCAAGGTAATGTTTAATGAGGAGGTTTGACACAGAGAGCTTATTTTAACGCACATTTAGCATTTTAGCAGCATGATTCAACTATCAAACCCAATATCTATCACAATCGCAATCACTTGTAGTGATTTCAGTTGAATTTTTGAAGACCAACTAGAACATTTAGAGGAGGCTCAAATGAATCAAGTTCATTGAAAAGGACCAAGAAGTAAACGTTAAATTTTCTTCTATGAGAATTATGATATGCATAGCCAACAATGATGCGGTATTCAAATCACCATGAACCTTCACTTTGAAATATGTAGCAGCTTATTAGTAAACTAAGGCTAAAAGCTAACAGAATTAAAAGGCACAACAGAGATTCACATCTCAAAGAAAAACCTCAACTTACAGTTAAAAGGTCAGCTAGAATTATTGGTGATCATTACAACTCAAAAGATCCAAAAAACAACGCCCAAAGGAGATGTTTTTTGTCCTCCACGTCTTAATTAGAAACAATGGAAGTTTGGTGAACAGAAGGTTATGCCTATTGCACAAGTATTTGTGAAGACTACCGATGAAACAACTTCAGATAGGACTTTACATATTTTGGATAGGCCTGTAATGGCCCTGGTTTTGATTGGCTCACCTTGACATGAATCCAATCCAAATAACTTTCAGATCAGATTAAAATTCAGGCTGGGTCAAGGTCAGCATCAATCTGATTGATGATTTTAGGTTGATACAAAAGTGCTTGGAATCATCAAACAAACATAAAGTGGATAAGGATGTCGTTAAAATCTAGAAACAAATTGAGGTCCTAATGATATTTTTGATAACAACTCTTCTAATTAGGGCTGTTTGGTTGCCAGCTTTTAAGAGTGTAATGCAAAACAAATTTAGGCAATTGTGAAATTTGGGAGTTAAATTGGATGTATTTCAAATGAAATGTAAAATTCTGATGAATTTAAAAACTACCCTTAATTTAAATTTGGTATGATTGGAAGTCAGTTGATTCAACTGATTTCTAAATACACCACCGGGTTTTACATTCATTTCAATTTACTTCAACAAACACAAACACAAAAAAAGGAAAAAAAAACCTATTTTTATTTTACAACTAACTTAACAACTAAAATATTTCAAATACAATACATTTCAATTTCACTATATTTCAATTACATTGCATTGCTTTTTTAGCAGACCATATAGCCTTATAGTTATCTGATTTTATTGAGAAATTAAACCCAATGATCCATGAAATGATTGACTCACATATAAATAGAATCATCATAAAATAACTACTGTGACATACAAGATAAAATAGATCAAACTACTTCTCCAAGAAAAATCAGCATCTAATAACTCACAGGAGTCTTCTCTAACAAGAACTTATACAAGAAAATTCACAGCAAAAAGTTCCACAGGAATGAACAAAAATTAGCACTAGAAGACAACAAAATAGACAAGAGTAAGATCATGTAACAAAAGCCAAAGCTCTTTACATCAAGTTCAAAAAGCTAGAGCCTGAATACGAGATACTTTTGTGTAAAACAACAGTTTACCCCTCACCCTCCATCAATCTTCAACATATGCAAGTTTACATGGAGGTAAGGAGACACAGATCATTAGGAAAAAAGAACAAAGAGAAAAAAAGCAAATACATTTCAGGAGTAACAGTTTTATACCAACTATTTGGGCTTGTTGTCATTTTAAATCCCTATGAAACAAATTAAGCCAACAATTAGAAAAGAAAGAAAACCTCCAAAACAGATTGCAACATTTCATTGCCTCTAGAAATATCTTTTGGTGATAATGTTTTGCAATGTAAAGGGATTTGATAAATAGAATCTTACGTTAGTGATTTTCCCTTGAAAATAATAGGAGGGGCAACAGCAGAAAAGATGCAGAATGCGATGTGAAGCTGTGATAAAGAGAAGTATCAAATTATTGATTGTCTGACCATGAAGCACAAAAAGTAAGCAAATAAACTCAAACACATACCACGTAAAATAGGAAAAACCATCCAAACTTCAGAGCACTGTCAGTCCTAGAATATTGTAAGAAAAAAGATTAAGCAATATTACAAAGGAAAATGATTTTGAAGTATGACAAAATTGAGCAAATCCAATATCCAAGAATAAACCACCAAAAAAAATGTACAAAAAGACGGCAGAAGCTAAAACATTAAAGGCTGACATGTCTTACCTCATGGCATTATAAAGAGGGCGATACCATAATACATAGGCTCCAGGAACCCCAGAAATAAAGTAGATAATGGCAAGCAACCAAATTCTTACATCTAAGGACAAAGTAAATGGCATTTAAAAAGTTTTCTCAAATGGTAAAAATTTTCAATTGTACCATACTTACTTGAAACCTTGATCCAAGCAGCAGTAACAGCTATGACATTCCAAAACAGACATGCTACCAATCCTGTGTAACCAATTAAAAGGCAAACAGGAAAAGACTTCAGCAATGCATGCCTTCTAGAAGAAGTGGAGTCCATAAAGGCATTTCATAGTACCTAAATGGCAGAAGTAACATAAATGAAAATAGAAAAGAATACATCTTTAAAAAAAAAACAAGATTCTAGAGATGCATTATCATTCTACTAAACACAATGCCAGCATTTTTCCTCTTAAAACTAGTATTATTGCATCAAAAACCATTTATAAGTCACTTATTTAAATACCCACACCTAATACTAGCCACTTTCACAATTAAAATATGCATTTATCATCCTCAACAATTTGGGATTCGCCAGTTCAACTAATTCTTGTTCAGTATTGCACGTGCCAGTAACTTTGTTTATGCAAAATTTTAACAACGATTCCTGGCTAATATATCTTTCTGCCCACTCTTCCATTGACATTTAAGTGATTCTTTTCTTGGAATGATTTGAATTTTTTACCTCAGCTTAAAAGACCAATGTCAATACTCATTAAGTGGTTTGTTATTGTTGAATCCAGATTTGTCCTGTGGATCGTACCCGATGAATTGAGTGTGAAATTTAAGGAAAAAAAAAGAGAAAAAGAGATTTGCCCCATGAGGAGCAAAGAGGGGTGTTCCCTGGGATTCACCAGTCTCAACTAATTTTTGTTCAGTATTGCACGTGCCAGTAACTTTGTTTATGCAAAATTTTAACAACGATTCTTGGCTAATATATCTTTCTGCCCCCTTTTCCATTGACATTTAAGTGATTCTTTTCTTGGAATGATTTGAATTTTTGACCTCAGCTTAAAAGACTACTGTCAACACTCATTAAGTGGTTTGTTATTGTTGAATCCAGATTTGTCCTGTGGATCGTGCACGATGAATTGAGTGTGAAATTTGAGGAAAAAAAGAGAAAAAGAAATTTGCCCCATGAGGAGCAAAGAGAGGCGTTCTCTGGGCTCTTTTGGTCATTTTATTCCACACAAAGTAAATGTTACAAGTAAGGAAAGAAGGGGAGCGTGCTCCCTACATGAGGGTTGAGAGAGAGAGAGAGAGAGCCCCTTTACCCATATTTATAGAAATATAAAGAGAGGAAAATGGGAGATTGCATATATGCCCTTGCCTTATAAGAGCGGCACGGCGTATTTCGGTCCTTCCATCGCCCAGATCTGATATCTGTCTGTGGGATCCGTCGGCGTCGGGTGGTGACCAAAAGATGGTAGGCCGGCTAGAGGTGATTGGTCGACCAAAAGGGCCGGCCGATTGGAAAAGGCTTGCCGATTGAAAGGGCCGGCCAGAAAGAGCTGACCGGCTGGTCGACTTCCAAGTGGTCGTTCGTGGGTTGTCGGATGATGGGAGGGTGGTATTCCAGTGCGGTTCCAAAGGTGATTCCTTCGGCTCGGCGAGGTGGCATTTTCCTCTTATACTATCATTAACAATAAGGCTATGTTCAATATGACCATCTCTTGTTGTGTTGTATGGTACATGTGGTTATTCGAAAAAAGTAGGCTACGAGGGTTTCCCCTCATATTTCCAGTCCTACAAAATCTTTAATCATGAATACATTGCCTCTTCAAGGCTCGTCTGAATTACAAAAATCATAATACTTGGGACCGACTATTCAAAACAGTTTTTGGGTAGTTAATACTATAAATTAAGTTAATCCTTCCATCTTGTTGGAAGTTTTCCCCCTAGTCCTGCCACATACGGAAAGTTTTCATGCACGTGAAGCATCCTCTACTGCACTAGTATTTTCAATTAATGCTTATAAAACCCTATATGTGAAAGTTATGCTTCAGCTTATCGAGAGAACTTCAATTTCACCTACCATAATTCCTCCCAGCGATGTTAATACTTCATTCTCTACTGAAACACATGATTGTGTAATATTGATGTTGTTAATGCAGCAAATTCTATTCAGTTTCAGCTTCCTTTAGAAGTATTCCTTGTTTAGTGGATAGAATATTTTAGCTTGTGTTATCTTAATAAAGCATAAATAGAAAACATAAAAGCATTTCTTTGTTCAACTAGGCTTACTTGGTTTAAAACTAGATGAAATAACTAAAGAGATGACCATGGAATTCTTGACGTGGCAATCGTCTAAATGTAGGCCTGTTGCCTGTTGCCCTCCTTTTGGGCACCAAAGTATTCTCTCCCGTACAAGTTATCTTGTCATATATGTTTTGCATATTTGCCTTTCTGTAGGAAGCTTTTTGCAACTGCTTTCTTTATGTAACTTCTTTTCCGGTGCGATAAAATTTTGTTGTTTAAAAAGAATCTTATGTTCTATTGTATGCTATTAAGATATTAGCAAAACGAGATAATTCTTTGGCAAAATCATGATAAATTATTGTCAAAAAGACTAAATGTTTGGTGTGCAAAATTGATGTGACATTAATATGAATTGATTGACCAAATGGATAATATTATGAATTTCATATGATTGTGATCAAATGCTATAATTTAAAGAATCTACAACATTAAAAATCAATAATCAATTTATTATATAAACCTAAAAATTAATAAATTTTGTTTCCTATGAAGCCAACTAAACTACCATTCTAAAAAAAATGTAATTTCAGGATTCACGCAACATGAATTTTTTTAAGCATTTTCCGAACGCCATGAAATTTCTTTTGTTGTTCAAGAAAACAAAAATAAGCAAAAGTTGGCAGCAGAGAGCTATGCAAAATAGAGCATAAATCAAACTCTCTGCTTTAAGTTGCGTCTTATGTTTTACTTCGAGCATGCGCAATCAATCACCTGCGACTATTTCTACCCGTCTTAAGAGCTACCAGGAGTCTTTCTTATAAATTATTTCAAAAAAAAATAAAATAAAATAACGGTCCAAATTTTTTTCTCTATGTAGAAATAACAATACATAGTAACATATATATGCATGAAGGTGAGTTAAATTAATAAATATTTAATTCTCCAATTAATCAGCTAAAATTTAAAGTTCTAGACTTAGAGATTCTTAAAAAAAGAAAGAATTGATGTATATTTAGCTATTTTAAGAGATGGAAATCAATTTATAGATTTTTAATATCCAAGAGTCCCACGTATGTTGCTGAATAAGTGAATTCTATTCCAAACTTACATAAATTTTCTTCATATCCTTAAGTAGGTAGTCCATTGGTCAAGATATTTGCTAGTTGATCACTTGATAATATGTATAGTGATGATTAGTCCACTATCCGAGTTAATCATTAACTAAGGTAAAGATAAATTTAGGCTCAAAACTGATAGGTAAATTACCAACAAAGTATAACTGATGAATTTTGTACTTTCAATTTCAAGAATGTTGTATGGGTTGAATACAACTGTTTCAGGAGAGGATCTATGCCCAAATGTAGGTTGAATTGTAGATGATAAGTTTTTATATGAGTATGAGATATCTGCTGTAGAGGAATTGGCTAATAAAAATTTTGTAAAGGTGAAAAAATTCCATATCTTCCATTGAATTTCTGTCACCCTAAAAATAAGGATCCCTAAAGAAGTGTTAGTTTTCAAGAAAGGTAACATTCACGGAAGCTAAGAGGCCTTAGATAACACCTGTAATCCATTTTGGTAGTTGAATATCCCAATATTTTCTTGCCCTTAGAACAATTTTACACCTATAATGAGCATCGATATGTGCAATGATATAACCAAATATATTGGGTTATATTTTGCCAAATCCATTAGATCAAGATCAAAGTTAGAAAGCACAGTTCAAGATTTACACATCATAAAACTCAGAAAGGAATGCTATTTCTACCCATAGATAATTAGAACGTTATGTTGCATGATTTTCATTGAGCAACTATATTCATGTATAATCCATTCATTCTCAAAATAGTAGCAAATGGGTATTAATTAAAATAGTCGCTTGAATAGTCGGACACAACACTTCTAATAGAAACTGAAAATTGCATGCCTACATTAGGTACTGTTTGGCAACTTCTGAGATTTATTTCAAGTAGAATTAGTAAATCCAGTAAATCTGGATTTAATAAATCGTGACTAGTTAAATATCGAATTTTTTTTGGTAGGACTTAAATGAAATCCGATTAAATATTGTAAAATTGTTTGGCAACTTATTTTAGGATTTAATTCTGTTAGTTCAAGTATACTTCTAATATTAAATATTGATGATATAATTACTAAGATAAGTTTAACTTCATTAATTTTTTATTACTTTTTAATGACATCAATTACTTCTTGGTGATTAATTAAGTTGTTTAATCATTACTGAGAATTTGACAAGCAAATTATTTATAAATAAGTATTTTAGTATACATTAATCAATGAAATAATAATAATTTTATATAAGTTAATTTCTATTTGGTATATGTTAATTAAAAATAAGTTAAATTTAAATTAGCATAAGGTAATATATCAAAAAATTATTAATTAGTAATTAATAAAAATAATTGCAATTTAATTGAATTGAAAAAAATAATATATATCAACTAATATTAATTAATATGAGTACATGGTTGTTTAAAAGTTTTAATTAATATTTATACCTAAAATTCCTATAAATTTCTCTGCTTAACTTATAAGTTCTTATTTAGACATTTACATACTCTTATAAATTTTTCTATCTTCTTCCTGCTAAAAGCCAGAACCCTCAGGCTCGCAGACAAAGTAAACGAGGTTGGACTCATTAGAAAATCCTCCTTTTTCTTTCTGCTACAACCCCAAAATCCTCATGCCCGCAGAAGTAATGGAGGTCGCAGTGGGAACTTGCTGGAAAGATTTTGAAGGATCGTGGCAAAGTAATGGAGGTCGCAGCGGGAACTTGCTGGAAAGATTTTGAAGGATCGTGGCATAAGTCATTGATGAATTTTGTCTGAAACCACATTCTTTCTCTCCATTTTGCTCTTAGCTAAAACCCTTGTGAGGTGTGTATTTCTCTCGCCTTTCTCCCACATCCAGCATTTCTGCATTTCTGTTTATTTAAGCCTGCAATCCACTGAATTTTCAAACTTACTAAATCCAGGATTTAAAGTTACAATTTTGTCTCTTTGGCAGATTTAAATTAAATCCAGCTAAAATCCAGCCTTAAAGCCATTGCAAAATAGTCCAGTAGTTAGAGACGAGAAAAATAATGCTTATTTCAAATTTTCCAATCATGAAAATAACCAAGAAATTCTAGCAAAGAAATCAATAAAGGATACAAACTATTTGGCATCATGAATATTAAAATTACTAAATGGACCACAGTAAAAAATATTTATCAAGAAAATATAATATTAAGTAAATCAAAAGGTGGATGCCCTGGGTAAAAGTTATGAAGCCAAATCTTAATTGAATAAGAGGAAAGATTTTTGATGAGAAAGAAAGGGGTAACTGATTTCCTTTGTTTGTGCTCATAGACTTAAGACAATAAAGCCCATTTCTACTTTAGTATACCTAATGTCATCCATGCAACATGTTTGTAAAAACACAACGCAAAGAAGATATGTTATATTTCAAGTTGAATATTGAGATTTGAAGAATGGATATACAATAGGTGGAAAGCTTTGGATCTATTGTTCCTAGTCTAATAACAGATATATGTGAACCCTCTGTAATAGTTTTTTTTAAAAGACATGGATTATAGGCATTAAAAGTGATTGGAATGTAAATCATGATTAGTATCTCCTGATTCTATAATGCAAGAAGATTGAGCAAAAAATCCAAAACACTAAAAGAATAAGAAATAATGTTCCAGCTTGATTGAGCCAACGAGCATGTTCTAAAAAAAGAAGTAAAGTGTCAAAAAGATATCTAACGTTTTCAATTTCTTCATTCTTGAGCTCTTCGTCCCCATTGAAGTTGAGCTTTTCTTAAGAGAACGCCACACCAGGTGACAAGTTGGCTTGGCTCAATTTTTATCCTCAAAAGCTGCCATTTTGACTGAGAACTTGAGCTTAATCATATAGTTTAAAGCAGCTTCTTTCAATTAGCGCGCCATGTTCCTCTTCAGTTAACTGTTTTTTGCTTCCAGGTTCACCATTATTTTATAGATTTTTTTCTTCAACTTCCAAAAGCTTTTTAGAGATCCTGGTTAAATCTTGTATGCCTTAAGTACAAGCATCACTGTTCTCCGATTCATCTTGGCATGAATCATTAAAAAGGTCTCATTAAAAGATGTTAGCATCACCTTTCCCAACATTTCAACACGAATCGGATCAAATTTTACATTGAGGTCTTGCAAATAATTTGAAACTTTTTCCCTTATAAAAATCTTGAGCATTGTCGCATCATAAATGCACTTCATCTTAACATTATGATAATAATCATGTTTTGACTATTTTTTTTTTTCCACTAAATTATAAAATATTGAGACTCAATGTAATGATGTTCTTAAATGATGAGATTTTATAGCTTAAAGATAGGGCTGTAAAAAAAACTCGTTGTTTGTGAACAGCTCAGATTTGGCACATAAAGTAGCTCGTGTTTGGCTTATTAAGTAGCTTGTGTGTGATTCGCTTATCAAACAAATGAGTTGAACACGAATAATTTCTTTAAGCTCGATTTATAAACGAGATGAACACGGACAAAAGTTTGTTTGTTCGCGTTCAGCTTATTTTGGCTCGAAATAATTAAATAATTAAATAACAGTATTTATTTAGATCTTTTTTATATTAATTTTTTATGTATAATAAAAAAATGCAAAATTTTATTATGTTTAAAAATTATTTGGGCGGTATGTTTATAAGAAAAAAGTATATAAGTTTAGGTGTTAGATATGAAAATGCATAAAATTTGGGGGGTATGTGTGTTAATGTCTCAAAAATAAAGCTTAGAGGACCAAGCCAAGTTCAATGAAGGAAGGGGATCATACATGGGCCCCACCATAGCCGCAGACTGCGCAGTGACAAAATCTCCACTTTGTTTCGTTTTTTGGGTCCCATCGCACCCGTCCATGACCCATCCACTCGTTTCGTTTCACTGGCAAGTACAAGATTGAGAAGAAGAATGTAGAAAATACAAGGACACGCTATCAAAAGCATTTTAGCCCCACATCATGAATGATGAAAAATTAGTTTGAGAAAAGCTTATAAAAGTAAAACTACGGCTCTACTAAAAAAATAAATTTGTATTGTTTTGGTTTAAAATATTCGAATTGTTTTTATTAAAATTAAATATTTTTTTAAATTAATAATAATTTAATTAATTATGTTATTTAGTCAAGTGAGGAGTTTGAGTTAAATTCGAGTCGAACATGAGTTTCACTCGAACAAATAAATTTAAACAGAGCCAAACACGAACATGTTATTAACGAGCTATTTTGAGCCGAACATGAACCAAAAAATTTTTTAACGAGCCGATCACGAAAAAGCTCTAGGCTCACTCATGTTCGGCTTATTTACACCCTTAGTTAGAGAAGTACCTCGTATCTTTGAGTAGACCCGGCGAACTACTTCCCAAATCAATGCATTAATGATTAACATGCAATTATACATGGAATTTCATAACCAATATATTATTACAAAATTTTAATAGTCCATAAAATTAAAAATTCAAATTATGATCTAGACCAATTCCATCAAGATCTTAGCTTGCCCTTCCTTTCATAAACTTCTTTATGATCATACTAGATTCTTTAGTTCAATTAATACGAAGGACTGACATTCCCTTATAGATGAATTTTAGATAACTAAAAAATGATTCCATATCGATGCTCAGAGGCTCGTTAAATTTTAAAGGTGGAAAGTAGAAAGGAATCTAATCTGAAAAATAAATATTTTGAATCAATGACCAATCACACTCAGAGACCCACTAGGACTCAATAATGAACGCAGTACAAGATCAGCTATCAAGATAGCTAATCATGATCTGAAGGAAAAATAGAAAGTAAAAAATCCTTTTATAAATCGATAGAAAGAATGCAAACATGCTCTAATACAATATAGGTAAAAGGTGATTCGAACTTTTCTTTCTTATGGAAATAGTTCATGGAGGTGACTGCACTATTGGTCCTCCAATAAACCCTTAAACATCTAAAAATTCTACATTTACAGATTCCTAAAAAAAGAATTGATACAAAATTGTACATTACAAATTAGCTATTCTAAGAGAAAAAAGAAGATTAACAATTTTTCATTTCCTACAAACTGTCAATATTTTATCATACATTCATCAAAATATTTAAGCGCAAATAATGATTTATAAATCCCTTGTCACTCCACACAAGAAATCAAACAGCACACCAACTGCCATGCTGTATGGAAAACTAATAATCAAGCGCCTAAACTAAAGCTCGATGACCAGAATAATATAATTAAATTCTTCCATTGGGCTCTTCGATCCCTTTAAAGCCAATTTCAACGGACCAACAGTATCTCACCTTCCTGAATAAACCCACCATCATACAAACATATCTTATGCAAACCATGATAAGTGTGATGGTTATGAAGAATTAGAAATAAAAGCAAAAATATCCAAGAAAGAAAGTCATCAATTCATGTAAAATTGATGAAAAATTAACACTCCTACAGTTGTCTCAAGTCTTTAGTCAATGCTTAACTCAAATAAGGTGGATCTAACTTTAGCCTTCTCTGAGTTGGTAGCTAAGCAGACGTAGCAAATAGAAGCAGAATGCATAAACCTAAATGAAAAACTGGAATGGCATACCTAACAATGAAGCAAATGCCAAGTATTGCATTCTTTGAACATGAACAGGTATTTCTTTTGCAATGTCATGATGGATAATAGGAAGAAATGGTGGCCAGTTCTTTTCTTCAAGTACTACTCCAGCTGCAAGAAGTAACAATTATCCACTTAACATTATAAATAAGAACAGTATTTTGCAGCTTTTGATTTGCTAGCATAAACTACAAAATTTAAGAAATCACCAACAAGTTACCGCGAGCAGCTGCATCCTCCTTTCGTTTAACTTCCTGTTGAATCACAAGAGAAAGGAACATCAACATGGAATATGAAAATGGATCGAAATGCACAATTTTCATGATTAATGCAATGAAATTTGAGAAATATTTGCGAAGTGATTAACTGGTATTTTTGGCAAAATTAAAAGTGCTTCATAACGATGTACAAGAATTGAAAAATATCCCGGTGCTTTCAGAATTTTCTGATGTATTCCTAGAAGAATTGACAGGACTACCGACAGAACAAGGAGTTGAATTCGGTATTGATATGCAACCAGGAACGTTTGCAATATTCAAATCTCCTTACTGGATGGCTTCGAATGAATTGCAAGAATTGAAACGTCAATTGCAAGGATTGATCGATAAGAGTTTTATCAGGCGAAGTAATTCACCTTAGAGTGCACCAATATTATTTATCAAGAAGAATGGTGGATCTATGCGGTTGTGTATTGATTACAGAGAACTGAATAAGGTGACAAACAAGAACAAATATCATTTACCCGGGATCAATAATTTATTTGATCAGTTAGAGGGTGCAGTTGTATTTTCCCCAATTGATCTGAAATCGAGATATCATCAGGTCAAGGTCAAGGGGGCAGATATAATTAAGACAACTTTTGGGAGCAGATATTGTCATTATGAATTCTTAGTTATGGTTTTTTGGCTTAACTAATGCTCTTGCAATTTTCATGAACCTAATGAATCAAATTTTTAAGCCATACGTGAATTAGTTCATCATTATATTTATTGATGACATTCTGATTTATTCAAGAATTGATGATGATCATGCCAAAGATTTGGAATGGTACTGGAGCTGCAGAGACAAAATCAATTATACGCAAAATTTTTAAGATGTGACTTTTGGCTACGAAACATTGCATTTTTGGGACACATTATCAATGATCACAGAATTTCAGTAGATCCTCAAAAAGTAAAGGCAATTGTAGAATGATCTACTCCAAAAAATGTTATGGAGGACCCAGTTTTCTTGATTTGGCAAGATATTATAGGAGGTTCGTCAATAGTTTTCACAAATGACTGAAGTTATCCAAGCTTATGAGAAAAAAAGAAGTCCTGTTTGAGTGGACTGTGAGCACAATTTTCAAGAGTTGAAGAAACATTTAACCACTACACCAACATTAGCTGTTTCGTCAGGCACAGAAATATTATAGGATTTACATCGATGTATCATTAAGAGGCTTGGGTTGTGTTTAAATGTAGAATAAAAATGTGATAGCTTATGCATCCAAAACAATTGAAGCCACATCAAAGGAACTATCCGATGCATGATTTGGAGTTAGTTGTTGTGGTATTTGCTCTCAAGATTTGGCAACATTACTTGCATGATGTGAAATATGAAGTTTTCCTGATCATCAAAGTCTGAAGTACATTTTCACACCAAGAAAATAGCATTTGAGGCAGCGAAGATGGTTAGAATTGATCAAAGATTATGATCTGGATATACAGTAGATGCACTGAGTTGTAAATCCCAGAGTAGTGCAAGTTGGATTCTTACTCAAAGGCTAGAATTGATTAAAGAAATCAATAATTTGCAGTTAAAAGTTAGAAGATCAGGTGATATGGGTTATTTACATGAACTGACAGTACAACCAACTTTAATGAATACAAACAAGCTAGTTCAAAAAGTTAGCAGCGAATATCTAAAACTATTAAAGCAATGCCAAGCGGGAAAAATAACTGATGTGACGGTTGATGAAGATGGTGTTATCTGATATAAACTTCAAATATGAGTACCTGTTGATTCTAATTTGAGAAGAGAAATTTAACATGAAGCTTATTATTTGGGCTACACAATTCATCCAGACAACACAAAAATGTACAAGGATTTGAAGTTCGCATTTTGGTGACCGGTACTAAGAAAGATGTTGTTGACTATCTATCTCAATGTCAAGCAAGTCAGATTGTAGCCTGAGCATCAAAGACCCAACGGATTGTTACAATTATTATTGATACCTGAATGGAAATGGGAAAAAATTGCTAAGGACTTTGTTGCAGTATTTCCTCGATCCAGACAACGCCATGACAGTATATGGGTTATTATTGACATATTAACAAAGTTGGCTCACTTTTTGACAATAAGACAACCAGATTCAGTGAAAAAGTTTGTCATATTATATGTCAAAGAAATTATCAAATTGTACATTATTCCAAAAGTTATTATTTTTTACATAGACTAAAATTCACATCCAAGTTGTGGAAAGACATTCGATAAGGTTTGGGTACACAGTTACATTGTAACACTGCGTTTCATTCACAAACTGACGGACAATCAGAAAAGGACAATTAGGGTGTTGGAAAATCTGTTAAGGCTTTGTGTTCTCGACTTTGGGGGCAGTTGGGAAGCCCACATTCCGATGATTGAGTTTGCTTACAACAATAGCTATCTATCCAGCATCAAAATGGCTCCTTATGAAGCACTGTATAGCAGAAAGTGCAGAACTCCACTCAGTTTGATTGAAGTGGGTAAACGCCAAATGGCTGATCCAAAACTAGTTTACAAAGTCACAGAGAAAATCAGATTAATCAAAGACAGATTGACGGCTGCTTCGATAGACAACAGAAATACTACGACCTAAAGCACCAAACAGTTGAATTTGAAGTTGGAGATTTCATATTTTTGAAAGTCGGGCCAATGAAAGGTACAACTAGATTTGACCAGGGGAGCGAGCTAAGTCCTAGGTATATTGGTCATTTTGAAATTATAGAAAGGATCAGTCCAGTTGCCTATAGATTTGCATTATCTGCGGATATGTCATATACACACGATGTGTTTCACATTTCCATGTTATAGAAATGGGTTTCAAATTCAGAGCAGAATATTTCACATGAAGATATTGAAGTACAGAAAAATCTAACATATATTGATTAGTTTGAAAAGAGCGACTGATGTTGATAAGCTCCGAAAAAGACAGATCCTCTATGTGAAGATAAAGTGGAAGTAGAGGCCTGAAAAGAAAGCAACATGGGAAAAAGAAAAAGACATACGACGAAAATATCCCTTATTATTTCAGTAAAGTTAGAAATTTTGAGGACAAAATTTTTATAAAGGGAAAGTTGTACGCACAAATTTCAATATACCAGGTAAAGTTTGGTACTATTGAAAAATATCCAAAATTTTACCTCCCAGAATTTAATCGAAATAATTTTATTAAATTATGTGCATGAAATCGATCTAATCAATATAAAACACTATATGTAAATTGTGAATGGACTGTGAGTTATAAAATATTGAAAGCATAAGTTGTATTAAATTAATAAATCCTTAATTAATCCTCCCTTAATCCTCTCGACATTGTAGCCCACAAGACTTACGCTCTTTTATTTCATTCGATCGGTCGAATAGGGAGTCCTAAGCTTCACATTTCCTTCTTCCTCTCCCAATTTCCCTTCTCCTCTCTTTTGTTCCCCTTTCCCTGTTCATTTCACGTCTGTAGAAGCAGGCGAGACTTGTGACCCTTGCACTGTAGCAAGGGCTGCAAGCTAGGCCTCAAACAACAAGAACTACGCGACCACGTGGGTGTCACGGCTCATAATTAGAAGTCTGGGGCGATTTCAGTAAGCAAGATTCCTTCTCTTTCGTTGTTTTAGGCTTTCATTTCTTTCATCACCCTTTTGTTTTGACGTTTACCTCGGTTTTCATGCTTTTCATGTTTCCACTAGCTGTTGAAGACAATGTGTTTGTGTCGGAATTGTCGTAATTGGTTTTGCGAACTTCTAAAAATATTTTAGCAAGAATTCAGAGAGAATAAGTATGGTTTGAGGTGATACAAAGGAGAGAGAAATTGGTGTTTTCGTGAGAGTAAATTTATGTTGAACAGTCATTTTGAGGTATATTTGACCTTTAATGTTGTTTTGGGTTATTGCGTGTTATGAGCCAAAATTTTATGAATTATTATGATGTCTATGTTTTAAAGGTTGTCTATACGAGGTGACGAGCTCGAGACAAGCGTACGGGCACTCATGGTAGGGCTTCTTAATCAAGTCAGGTAAAATAATTTTATACTAATTTAAAAAAAAATAGTCTTTTATAGGTTTGCATATGGTTTCTTGTTCGACATAAAAGCATTTAAACTTCATGCATATTGTAGAAGATTACCTACTTAAAATGCATGAATGCAAGTGGAGATCTTTTACAATACATATGATGATATGTTATATTGTGCTACATTGCAGATATTCGTTTATGATTCATACTAATTAGGCTATAATATGATATAGTGCAGGAATTCATTTATGATTCATACATATATATGAAATAACCATGAATGTATGTTATAGGTGTTATGTTATAAGGAATATCATTAGTAATGTATGGGTAAATTATTACATGCAGGGATATAATTCCGACTCCTGATATTTATACGGGAATAAAACTCTGGAAACCGTTGGGATTAGATGTTAGCGGTATTAGATGGTGACAGAACGTTAGAAAACCGTGAATATCAAGGGAGCTGTCGATAACTGCTATATTGGGAAAACCCAACATTTATATAAGGTTTATATAGTTTTTGGGGCAGAGTGAAGATCCATTATGAAAGAACATGAAAATAGTTGAATCATATATATTAAACAAGTGACATTTATATGATATGACTGAAAATGCTTTTAATTATACTTATGATTTCATACTTACGAGCAACATAATACATTATAATCATAATTTTTTTACCTACTTTCTTATGCTAGCATGTAATGTTTTATGCGTAAACATGTATTGTTTTCTAAAAGTATGCACGTTGCTTTTTTTCATATGTAAAATCCTATCTTAGCCCTAATTATTTCTCTGAACTTACTGTTTGCTCATTTTTCATTGTTGGCTTTCAGGTAGGAGCAATAAGCATCGGGGCGAGAAGTCAGGTGTGACTTGTACAGCTTTTTGTTTCATAATTGGAAGTCTGTACAAACTTTTTGGGTATGTATTTATTTATTAGATTTAGCAACTCTGTATAGTTTTCATGTTTTGGATGATTTAATTTTCATGTTTCTGAATATGTAATTGAATTGTAATGTATTTTTTTCAACGATCCAGTTTAACTAATTCATCACCCACTGGGTCCAAAATATAAAAGACAGGACGAGTGTTGGTGAGAGTTAGTCTGACCAAATTGTCAGCCTCTATTGCACCTCAGCCGACTCCTAAAAAAATGGAGCCTATTGGGATGTGACAGATCAGAAGTCATGTATGAATATCCTAAGTAAAAATCAAGGGTAAGCATTACTCTTTCGAGGAAATAAAGCTAAATTGAAAGCTTGCATTTCTAAGTAATAATAAGCTATTAAAAAAAGGCATTTCAAATTAAGGAGCGAATTCCAAACCTATGGTTAGAAGTCCCCTTCCAAAATGCATTAAGCTAAGAAATATTAATGGAATAGGCATATTCTCATTGCTCAATGTGTCAGAAGAACATTTTACAATGGCTAATGGTTCCATCAATTCCAAAAATGCATGGAAGTCAAAGTTCTTGCAGGAGTAAAGACCATATAAATAAGCGTGTATGACTTGAAGGAGATGCAAAACTTGATTAGTAATGATCAACATTCCCTCTCTTAATCATCGCTAAACAGAAGTCGGAAGGATTGCTACATTATTTTCTAAATTATTAGGAATACAGATCCTTCATCCCAAAAAATTTCTACATTTGATCAGAGCATATTAAAGCATAAAAAGTAATAATTTACTATAAATTTATAAGGCAATCACGTCAAACATTCTCAAGGTCATTGTTTTTTTTAATTTCAATCAAGTTAAATTAAGTTACGTACTTCAGCAACAATTCCAACATATATAAGGATGACGTTTAAGTAGTAAGTTCAATACAGCAAAGTAGAAATAGGAACAAAAATCAAACAAAGGTATACAGAACATGACAAATAATATATGATCAGCATAAAAACTTCCAAGAAGTTACCTGTTCCCTCCTCCTCAATTCTGCTTCCTTTGCTTGAAGTTCTTTCTCCTTCTTTCTTAAATCCTGCGTTAACATAAGCACACATGAGCATACATATTCCATTATAACCCTTACCTGAGAACCTTTTTTCATCATTATTCTTGCTTCTTCTTTCGTATTGTTATATTTGTTTTTTGATGATTGACGAAGGGTAAACAAGAGGTGGTTAGTCATAATAGAAGGGCTGCTTCATAGTGGGGATCATTTACTAATCGTTTGTCTCCAAGTTATAGTGAAAACTAGAGTTTTAAAAGAAGAAAGTCTTGTTTGTGGAATTAGATATCAGCGAGTATTAACTAATCACATGAAAAATAACCTTAACCATATATTTTCAGAAATTCAAATTTTCCAAAGATACAACAGCAGCAGCAACAACAAGCCTGCTGGGGTCGGCACCAAAAAAAAAAAAAACTTTTAACTTTTTATTGAAGACTTCAGGTAATTTGAATCATTCCTTACCTTTGTCGAATCAAGGGGTATATCAACTGTTGCACCACGATCATTGAAAAAACCAGCCGATTCAGGAGTAAGAGATTGAGGCCTAGTATTGGACGCAGAGGTAAAAGCACTTCCAGCACTTCCATTCTGGGATATCAGGCAAAATGATTAGGAAATTAGTAAGACTTACAGAAAAAAAAAATATCCACTCATCAAACATGACATAAAATACATCTAAGACTAAGGGACTGTTTGGTTGAGTGAATTAGTGGTGTATTGTAATTCTTCTGTAGGAATTTGAGAAAATTATATGTTTGGCATGCAAAATTACAAATACAATGTAAAGTTTGAATGAATTGAAGTTTACATCATAGTTTATTTTAGTTGAATTTATAATTTGACCCATTGAATTACACAATTCATGTAAAATGCTATAGGCAAGTTGTCATCACCCATCGCTAGCGGTTCCCTGCTCGCTAGCCACCAGCCTACTGCCACTATCGCCAGACAAAAGTATATATTTTTAAATACATTGTTTTCAATCTATTTCAAACCAAACAAAAAAAAATATAAAATTATATGGTTATTTTACGATGAACCAAACAACTCGAAAGTATTTCAAATATATTGTAATCATAATACTCTGCAAACCTTTTATATTGTGTTTTATTTTCAACAAACCAAACGGGTCCGAAGAAAAATTTGTCCTCACGCCAATAACAGGAGTTATAAAAATAGAGTAAAAAGCATAATGTTTGATGCAAGTAAAGAAAATAAAATTAAGAAAACCAAAAAACAACTATGAAGGGCATTATTTCAAGGTTTCAATATAGCATACAACTGCCATATATGCATAAATTCAAAACTTCAAGCAGTAGAATGAAAGTTGGGCTACACGTTGAAAGTTGTAACTTTATAAAACAAATAAAATTATTAATGGGAGTACAAATGAAATTCCCTAACTTACAGGTACAAATTCCTATAATTTACAGCAGGCAATGCACAAGACACAGTATACCTTCGTTCACTTCATGATGGTTAATGCATCATAAATACATCAATAAGAAAAGTTCAATTTTAATATGCAGGCAATAGATTTTTGTTTCAGCTTTCGAGAGAAACACCAAATTGAAAAGGCTTGACTAACAATATGCTATATTTCAATGCGCAACCATCAGGAAATGCAGAAATGATTTTATTTCATTATGTGTTAATCTAAAAATCCAAATTTTGCCATAAAGAACTGAATTCATAGGAATAGTTTCAGCCACTGCTACAATACCGCACAAGTAAATGCTTCTTGTGATCCCATGCACCAACTTGAAATTGACCGATATAATAGTAACATTTAACTAAATATCATCACAATAGCAACATTATCATTATTATTAGCTGTGTTCAAACAATTTGGGTTGTTTTAACTTCATAAGACATCAATCTTTATACATCCAAGTTGAAGGTTGCACTAGTTGTTGGATATATTATTCATAAATCATTTGGCACAAGCTTTATTTTAAGTTGCCTTCTATTTGGCCATTTTCTTCCTAATTTTTATATTAATATTATCTATACACTTCATTGGTGCATCTTTTACTTTTCGTTGTATGTTCAAATTGCCTAAATCAATTTTCATTTTTTGTAGATAATACTCCTACAATTAATCTAATATAATTATTCCCATGTTAGTCATTCCTAAATTTAGATCCATCTTAACACACTCATTCTACTATCTAACACAGAGATCAATAAATATAACTAGCATAATTAAGAGTTTATAAAATTTATTTATAAATTTAACATTACTATATTCTCAAAAAAAGTGCTCCCAAGGAACTTCTCCATTTTAATCGCTCAACCTTAAATATTGAAGTTATATCTACATGGGTATCCTAATTCTCCTATGTAATAAGCACAATAAAGTTATCGCATTTAGATATAGTAATATTCATTTGATAATTAGCAATAGAACCCCACTAAACTTGCCAATTCTATGCTTAATATCTTTTCATGTAAACCAAAATATTTTATCTTCTAAGAATTTATTTAATTGCCCTGACTTTCTAAGTATTTCAATAGAAGTTTCAACAAGCAAAATTATGTCATATGCTAAAATTACAAGACATAATATCTCACTTAGAATATGCTTTGTATATAGCCATAATACAAAAATATATGGGCTTAATGTTGATCATAAGGTAAACCATCTAAGATTGCGAACGATTACCAGTTACTCTGCAACTACTTCCTAAACTAGTTAACGCACCACTAGAAACATTTTTAAGAACTTGAACATAACTGTAACACAACCCTTTATTTTAATGGGTAATAAATCGATTCTACAAATAATCTGATCATGTCTTCTCAAGCTTAAGAGAAACATATCACTTCCCCTCTTTCCTCTTTATATCTAATTTTAATGGAGCAATAAATATTTGTACAATGTCTTCTTTGCATAACATCAAATTGATACTCATGTATCAATATAACTTTTTTAGTCTATATTCCATTAAAATCTCCCAAAATTTCATTGTACGACTTATAAATGTGATTCCCCAATAATTAATTAACACAATCCCCAATTTCTCACTTGTTCTTGAGTAATAGTACCAAAAATACTTCTTCTAGCTTCCTATTCCTCAAGATTCCATTGAAAAGAATTGTCAGCTAAGGCCCTCTTTGGGATCACTTTACGTTTTGTAGCTTTTGTTTTTTTTTTTTTTTTTGAAAACAAAAAACATAAAACAAACCCAAAAATAGTGTTAGTTTATTTGTTTTTTTTTTATTATTTTTATTTTTTAAAACACATAAGGATTATTTTCAAAACATCAAAAACATAGAAATGACATTTTTGCTATTTTAAAAACATGTTTTCGGAGCATTACTTGTGCGAGGCTCCGCCACCTGTCGTCAACCGCCACAGTTGCACGTCGCAGGCCGCCAACACTCGCCACCGCCCGTCGCGGACCGTTCGCTGCTAGTCGCAGCATACCCGCCCGCTGTTAGTGCTTCATGCTAGGTGGAGCAAGAAAAACGTCGTATACACCATGGGCAACAAAGCTTAATATTGGAGCACACATAGAACCAATCGTTTTATAAAAAATATAATTTTTTTCTTTAAAAAAAATATAAAAAAAATACCAAAACAAACATGTTTTATATTTTTTATTTTTAAAATCATATAAATCATAATAATATCAAAATACAGAAAATAGAAAACAAAACAAAAACAAAATTAGAAAACATAAAGTGATCCCACACAGGCCTTAAGTTACTCCAATATCACCTAAAACACTACAAACCTTAAGAGATACTTATCTATAACTAAAGTTTTACCTTTTATGCACCATTTTAATAGCTAGCTTCATCTCATGATTTTAGATCAATTCATAAAATAGGTCATCATCAATTCATTGTTCAGTTCAAAAAGGTTTCCTTAAACACTTACATAATATTCTCCCAAGTTGTATTTTAATCATTGCTCGATGTATTCATTTGTAACTTAGACCTTCCACTCTCAATGCACCAAATATGATCAAAGCCTTTAGAGATTCTATCTCTCGCGAGGCAAATTTTGTAGATATTTTTTTTCAATCTTGGCACCTAATCGATTATATGAATCATCAAAACCTCGGTTTCATAGATTTCCTCCTCAAATCATGTTGATTTAGCTCTTCATCTCATTTAGAAAACCCAAGCCTGCAGCAACTCCTTCAGAGATATCTATACATGTGTTTTATGGGCCAGTATTGTACCGCAAAATCTGAAAGCTAACAGATATTCTGAGGGATCTAAAAATAGATCAAGTGGAAAGAATAATTTACCTCTAATAGCGCAGCAAGAATCTAAAGCTAAACTCATAATACATAGAGCAACAAGCAATCAACAAGATGATAAAATCATGAACATCAAAATACTAGGTCAAAGAACCCTATCAGACCTAAGCTGATCAGAATCCATTCTTTATTCATGATAAACATCCTCCCCTTCGTAGTCAAAAGAAAATACATTCTCATTCCGATTTACAGGAGAAGCACATGTTACGCTGAAGATGACTCCAGTAACTCCATGAAACCTACGAGTAAAACGAATATATGAAATAACATCTCATCAAAAAAATATTTGATTAGCAACGACTAATGCTCACATAAACTTCAATTTACGATCACCAATCTCTAAAAAACAAAGAAAAAAAGACTATAAACTCCATGATTACTTGCCGGATCCAACCGAACCAACCACCGTCAATAAATCAGAACAAAAGGAAAACTACTACACAGATATCAAGATCATCAAATTCCCTCCGCTAATTAGAATTCATGTCATCAGCAATCAATTCTCGAACAAAATAACATCGAGAAATCCGAAGGAAACATTTGAACGCCGAAGCTGGGAGAATAACTCACCGCGAAGGGATTAACCTCTTCTTCCTCAAAGGGATTGGGATCGTAGCGTCCGGCCATGAAAGCGAAAGACAGATAGAAGGTGGAAGAAATTGAGGAGGGGAAGAAGAAGAAGATGAAGAGGAGAATGACAAAACCAGAGATTGACTCGGGAACTGCTTTGCCTTCGCGCACAAGGCCCGTCAGCCGAAAATAAAATTATATAGAACTACTTGTCTTCTTTAACGGCTTTTGACATACTCCATTTTATATATATATATATATATATATGGGGGGATGTTTT